ATTCCAGTTGTTTTTGTATGGCTTAAATTGATCATTTGTTATCTGTAACGATTAGTATTATCAGTTTCACCAGGCTTTAGAACTCATTATACACCACACCTTTCTGATTCCACCTAATACAGAGCATTGTCTTCTTGCTGAATTAATCTTCCAATTTTTTGCCAAATTGATCTTCCGATTTCTTGCCAAATTGACCTTCCGATTTCTTTCAAATTGTTTGTTTTACAAATAAAAATTTCTGATACAATCAGAAATTGATTGTTGTGAAACATTTAACATTGCTGCCATTTGCTTTTGATTCCAAATACCATCTTCATACAATATTACTTGCAATTCAGCATCTTCAAACGTACTTTATTTCTTACATCAAAATCATTATCTCTGTTGAAAACATCTTTTGCAAAATGCTTTTGATTAAGCACGATCACCATATGCCTCGACAAACATTTTATGTGATTCTGCAGCACTTTTCTTCTAATAAAAACGTTAATGCTTTCCGCAATTTATCATATTCTGGTAAAAAAGTTGAACATTTTAACATTATAAAAAAATATGTTATTTGTTTAATGACTTAATGTATAATAAATGTGTGAAATACCAAACAAACAAAAAAGGCTCGTTCACAAATAAAGGTTCCTGATATTCCTAAATATTTTAATCTACATATTTATATCCTAAAGCTCACTCCATAATGATAAACATGGTAGTATACACACATATATATATGGTATACATATACAAATATATATATATTTTTTAAAAACTTTGGCATATAAAATTCCCCGAATGGTCACACACGAGCAGTGAGGGATTGAGGGAAGAAATTTAAAAAAAATTTTATTTTTCGAGTCAGCCAATAATTTTCCTTTTCATTTGAAACCCATTATATATCAAATTATATATATTTGATTACTGTATAGGAAATATGAAACTTAGTAACAATTTTACCAATGAGTAATAATTCTTGAATTAGCGTGTCGAAATTCTCCCTCAAGTTTTTGTCCATCAGAAGTTAGCTGCCTGACTGGTTTTCTAAGTCTAAAACAAATCATATAAGAAAAGTTTATTATTTTTTTACAAATTGTAAATTTGAAAAATAAACAAGCACAAAAAATTAACAAATTTTTATTTATATTAAAAATATCTCAAATGCTAAACATTTACTTTGTCAGTAAAAAACCAGATAATATTAAATATCCAGATATAACTAAATATCCCATTATAGCAAGAGGATTCTAAATACAAAAATATAAAAATTATAAGTAAATATATATATATATATATATATATATATATATATAAATTATAAAAATTATGTAAATATATATAAATATAAATATATATATAAATATATATATATATATATATATATATACATATATATATACACATATATATATATATATATACATATATATATATATATATATATATATATATATATATATATATATATATATATATATATATATATATATATATATATATATATATATATATATATATATATATATATATATATATATATATATATATATATATATATATATATATATATATATATATGTATATATATATATATATATATATATATATATATATATATATATATATATATATATATATATACATATATATATATTAGTACAAAATTATACCTAATAATTTTAACTCTCTTATCAAGTTTTTTTCATTTTGCATAGCGCTTCATAATTAGAGACTCGTAAGAAATAAATGACCAAAATAATAAACTTTAATTTATACCAAAAGTTAAATTACAGGAAGTCATAAATATCTTAACTACTATAATATGTCATTTGTGGAATATGTTGACAATATTATAAAAAAATCTTTAGAATTGTTTACCTTTTTTTATATTTTTAAAGAGAAATTTATGATTAATATTTTTTGAGCTAACTTTATAGTTTTTTAAAAGAAACTTTTTGTAATGTTTCTTTTAAAAAACATGCCTGCATTTAAAAATCAAATTTGATTTTTTATTTATATATTTTTTTAATAAACATTCTTGTTTTGCATATGTAATTTTTTCAAACGTTTTATGTAGACATAATATACATTTTTTACAAATATTATTATACTCGGTTGCTGTTTAAAGGATGAACCAATTTAATATAAAATCATTAATATTTTCATCTTTTAATGCCCATTTATTTTAACAGCATGGTGTCTTTTGACAGCATAGTGTCAAAAGACACCATGAACATTTTGTATTTATAAAAGATTGCTTATGATTGGGAAAAAGCTTTTTCCATTCATCCTCTGATAAGCCAATATATTGTTTAACAGGTATATTCTTAGAAGAAACAAGATATTTATATACCAAGTTTTAGATAAACATTGTCCATTTGTTGGACAATTTTTTTTTAGTTTACAAGTTTTTGTTATTTTTTTTATTTAGAAGTTCTCTTTTGTAATTCTATCATTTAGTAGTTTGTTTTATGTATAACAAGACATTATTGTGGCTTTTTATAACTCTTTCCACATTTTTACAATTTTCTGTAACTTTATCATTTAGAAGTTCATTTTTTTGTATAATAAGTAGTGTTGTTACAACTTTTTTTGTATAATAAGTAGTGTTGTTACAACTATTTTTTGTATAATAAGTAGTGTTGTTACAACTTTTTTTGTATAATAAGTAGTGTTGTTACAACTTTTTTTGTATAACAAGTAGTGTTGTTACGACTATTAAATAATTTGACTGTTGACTAAATCAACTAATATATTTTCTAAAGTTGACTAAAATCAACTTATACAATTTTGAAGTCGACTAAAAGTTGATTTAGTCAAATTATTTAAATAATTTTTTTTTTTTAAATAAATTGTTATAAAAATTATAAATTAATTTATACTGTAACTTTAGGTAACTTTGCGCAAAAAGTTGAAATTTTTTGCTTTGTGTTTCTAAAAATTGGCTTAAAACGTCTCTAGTATTTATAAAAACTTGCCAAAAATTTTATTTGGACTATTCAAAAACCGTTATTGTAAGAATTTATTTTTTTAATCATTAAAGAAGGATTTTTCACGGGTGTCTAAATTATGTCCTAAGTTAACCAGGGTTTTGCACAGCCTTATAAAATTTTTAAAAAACTTTACCGTTTATATGAATTTTGCTATTTAAACTTATTTTATTATACTGTTTAAAAGAAATTTTAACAAGAGTTTAAAGACAAATAAAAATAAAACAATGAAATCAGATTTACTATTGTTTTGGTAAATAAAAAATTTAACATAATAAAAGAAACATAGCCACATTAAAAACTAAAAACGCAAAATTTCGTAATCGTACAAAAACGTAGGCAATTATATATCTTTAAAATAAAAAATAAAAGTTAAATAAACAAACTTCAAGAAAAATGAACGTCTAATAGAGGTACTAAAAGTTTATAAAAGAAAAACTCCTTGATGTGAAACAAATATTGTCCCATTCATAAAAATCTTCTTGTGTGTTAGACAAGCATTTAATATTGTTACCATTGGCTTCACATAAGCGCTGTTTTCCTTGACATTTGTAATTTGTCCATGAAAAAGTTCACAAACTTGTCTCAAACTAAGTTTGACTTCAAAATTTTATTTTTTTTCTCGACAAGTTTATTTTCAATGCTACTCAATGATATTGAGCTAGAACTGTGATCATGGCACTCTTTTGGATCTTCTTTAGATTGAACTTTTGACTTTATGCTCTTTGTGTTTTTGTTCAGTTTTTTCTTTCCAAGCTTTGAGCCAATATTAAAACTGTTATCAAAATTTTCTAAATCTTCTTATCCAACACTTTTCCCTGCAGGAACAGAAGCTTTTTTTTTGTTTTTTAGTTTCTGGAGACTGCAAGGATTTATATTTTTCTTGTTCAAAATTTTTAAAGCTGTCTTCTAAATATTTTTTATTCTACAATTCTAAGTTGTGTGAGAAGTTGATTGACATTTACTGGATAAATACCACACTTTCTAAAACCTGATTTTAAGTTGTTAGCCTGATTTGATTCTATAGCAATCATTAACTTGTTTAAAAGTTCTGGAAAATTTTTCAAGAGATGTTTTTGTGCAGCCAGCAGGAGAATCTTTATACTCTGTAATAATTTTACCCCGAGCTGTTTTTAAAGGTTTAAAGAAAACCACATCTAGAGGTTGAGTTATATGCGTGCTATTAGGTGGCAGGCAAACAAACAGTGTTTCATTTTTTCACAAGCATTAATTACTTTTGGAGAGATTTGAGAGGATAAGTTATTGCCTAACAAAATTCCTGATTTTTTTTTTAAAGAAGGTAAAACTATAGAAAAAAGTCACTCTTCAAAAGCTGCTCCGTCAAACCAACCACTTTTAGTTTTGAAATATCTGACTCCTTTAGGAACTCCTACACACCAAGTTGACCACAGATTTACAGCTTTATAAACTACAAAATGTGGTAGAACTTCACCTGCAGCATTACCTGATATCATAATAGAAATACTTGCCTTTGAAGTGTTATATTTTGTGTTATAAGTCTTATATTTGCTGGATATTTATTACCTCATTTTACCAAGCATATTTTGACCCTGGATAATCAGTCAAATTTGTTTCATTGTAATTATATATGTTACTTGGAGGTATATTTTGTACAGTTATTGATAATTGCTGAATATAATACTTTTTCTTCACTAGCAATTGCTCGAGATTTTTTTAAGTTTGGCACAAATTTACTTGTAAGGTGTGGATGTCTTTATGAAAATGAATTAAATAAATCAGGTACAGGAAAGATTTTTGACTCTTTTACTTTTTTTCCTGAACTAATTAGATAATTATTCATAATATGACGAAAATCTTTACTGACTGGAAATCCAAAATCACTTATATGAATGGTACACTTCACAAAAGCAGCCTCCTCAAATTTGGAAAAGAAGTATGGTTTATCAGGTTTTAAGTTGTGTTTTCCTTTTAATTTGTAACAAATCAATCTTTAACTAATGCCATATTTAGCAGCAGCTTGCTTTTGTGTCAGCTTTTTACATTTAACCTCTTCAAGACATTTGGATAAGTCATTATTTGTATGGTCTTTATATTTTCTGGCTTTGTAAAAACTTCTGGAAAAAACATGAATGTTATTACTAATTAGCAACTAAAATCAATAAAAACAATAAAAATTTATGTAATAACTATGCTTATATATACAATTTGCATTAATTTTTAAAAAGTATTGTTTTTAGATGATTAAAGACAGTTTTGGTTATTTTGCACATTGTGCAATGTTGTCCCAATTTAGCCCAAAAGAGTAATTTATTTACAAAAATAGTATTTTTTTATTCATCTATACTGACAATCCCATTAAAACATAGAATAATTCAAACTAATATTATGATGAGCATTTTATACCATTTACTCACCTTGGGGTCTAATTCTAATGTGCTTAAAAGATAAAAGTTGCAAGAAATTATTTGTGTGGCTTTTTTCTATGTTTAATTAAAGTTACTTGTGTAGAAAGAAATTTCATTAAAACGACTATTTTACACTATTTTTGAATTAAAACTAGAATATAAAGCTGACTTCAAAAGTGTTTTGAAGTTGTAATTCAAAATTTTAACTGCTAGAGAGTAAAATATCTTTGACTTGGGTTGTGCAATGTTACCCACGGTTGTGCAAAGATACCCAAAGTTACAGTATTCGCTTTTTATTTTTTAACTATTATTTTATTTAAATATTAATAGAACAAAACAATACGAGAGAAGGGCTGCATCAATAATGGAAACATTTATTCCCAGATCTCAATGATATATAGAATGCCATAAATACTAGCTATAATCAAATTCTTTACAATAAAATTTACAATATGATTGTATAGATGGCAGGCCTTGCAATAAAGCGTTGGGCGATGATGCTAGCTGTCCTCTTAGCCAAATCGCTGTCTTTATCTTTAAAAACATCGATAGTTTTTCGTTAACTTTAAAAAAAACTAGCGATCCTCGTGGCCAAATTGCTGCCTTTATTGTAACGATTATAGCTAGCTATTCCTAACCGATTTCCCACCGGGGTATATTTAAAGATATTTTTGAGCGGAGTTTTAATGAAGTAATTTACGATTATTTGAACATTTAATAAAGTATTTTAAAAACCGCACGCAGCTGATATAAAAGTTTGAATTACAAAAAAATTAAATATACTCATTATTTACAAGTAGAAAAAATTCAGATAAAAAAAAAGTTTAAATCTTTTTAAGCTAACATTTTAATAAAATTATTTAGCAATAGCAAAGTTGTCAATAAAATTGAACAAAAATACTTTCTTTTTGTTTTAGATTTTTAACTTAAATAATTATTTTACGGGGGTTTGTTAGGTTTATTAACTGTTAGACGTTTTTAAAGTATTTAAGAGTAATTTCGAGAAAACATTTTAAAAATTGGTAAGCGAAAATAAAAAATAAAAAAATTAATATAAAAACGTATTCTACTTGATTCGATAAAAAAGTACAGTTATTAAAATTTTTGTAAAAAGTAACTCGAAAAAAATTACTTAAATAATAACAACCGCTTTTTTGTTAAAAGTTACTGAAACTCAACGAAGCGTGCTCAAGAACAGCTGCTGAAAAATAAAACATCAATAGTTTTTCGAATCATTTTTAATAATAATTTTTAAGAATAATTTTTTCGCTGAAATATGTCTTTTATACTTATAAAATTTTTATTCTAACATTTTATTTTATTGTACCAAAAATAAAATTCCTTGTAAACATTAAAAATCTATTCAAAACGTTCGTTAAAGTTTTTTAGTAATACGAGTGATTGTGCTTATCAACCGCTTTATGAAAATAAATAAAAATAAATAAATAAAAAAATATTATATAAAATCGCTAGTAAAAAAATTAGCTATTGCACAGTTTTTAATCGTACAATATTAAAATTTCCAGTTTATTACTCGCTTACTTTTTAAAAAGAAAAAAAAATTATTTTAAAAACTTTAAATTATACATTTGAGAAAAAAAAAACCCAAATACTAGCATATTTTATAATCTTTTTTAAATGTTTAATTATAATGTTTTTTATTCGTTTAGTATAGACAAAACGTGTCAAACGTCGAGAAAATAAACAAATGTTTTTACATTTTAAAAAACGAAACATTCCAAAACATTTTTAAATAATAACATTTCTACATTAATGATTTAAAGTAGTTTTGCGGTAATTAAGTAAATTGGTACAGTTAATGTCGATAAATATAAAAAAGCAAATAAACAGAATTTAATGATGCCAAAAATCACGTCGTGCTTATGCATCGCGCAGTTTTTATTCATCAAAAGACCTGAGATGGCATTTAGATTTTGGAGCTTTACAACTTAATTCTGCTCCAGGGCCCCGAGTCATCTTGGAGCGGCCTTGTATGAAAGTATTTATGAAAATCAAGAGCATCGCGTAAACAAAAGAAAAGAATAAGTAATTAATGAAATAAATAACTGAAAGTTTAATCAGGTATACATTTTTTTTCTGTAGTTATTAAATGCTCCCAGAAGTCATTTCAATCTTATCACTGAGCACTGGGGAAGAACATAAATAATGCTAACATGATATGAATTAGATAAAACTTTAAAAAAAAAAAAAACTAGATAATAGTTATAATAGTACATACGATTGTTATTAAATGAAAAAATAAAAATTAAAGATTGGAAAGTTAAATAAAATGAAAATATATAAGGATTTGAAGATTTTTATTCAACTAAATCAACTTTTAGTCAATTAGTAGAAAGTCCATAGCCGATTGAATGAGCTGTTCGATTTTTCGAGTCAACTAATTTCAACTTTAGTTAGTCGATTTAGTTGAAATCAATAAAAACACTAATAGCAAGGCATTATTGTGGTTTTTTATAATTCACTCCACATTTTTTACAATTTTCTATAATTTTATTATTTAGAAGTTCTTTTTTTGTATAACAAGACATTATTGTGACCTTTCCACAATTTTCTTTTCAACATTTTTTGAGCAATTGTAGCTAACTTTAATTGTACTTTGGTTACAAAATTTATGCAATTTATGAGAATGCGTGAAATGTTTGTTTAGCAATTTTAAAAACACTTATTTTATGTTAATGGAAGTATTTTTTAATATGAAAGGAAGAGGGGTGAGGGGGTAGCCATATCTAGTTGAATATTATTTGTTTTATAAAGATAAAACAAATAACATTTATATATATATATATATATATATATATATATATATATATATATATATATATATATATATATATATATATATATATATATATATATATATATATATATATATATATATATATATATATATATATCAGGCCTTGCGATGAATAAGAGCTGCGCAACGCATAAGCACGACGTGATTTTTGACGTCATTAAATACTTTTTATTTGCTTTTCATATTTATCGACATTAACTGCACCAATTTATTTAATTACCGCAAAACTACTTTAAATCGTTTATGTAGAAATGTTATTAATTAAAAATGTTTTGGAATGTTTCGTTTTTTAAAATGTAAAAACATTTGTTTATTTTTTCGAGTTTGTCACGTTTTGTCTATACTAAACGAATAAAAAACATTATAACTTAAATTTAAAAAAGATTATAAAATATGCTAATATTTGATTTTTTTTTTCTTAAATATGTAATTTAAAGTTTTTCAAATAATTATTTTTTCTTTTTAAAAAGTCAGCGAGTAATAAACTGGAAATTTTAATATTGTACGATTAAAAACTGTGCAATAGCTAATATTTTTACAAGCGATTTTATATAATATTTATTTATTTATTTTTATTTATTTTCATAAAGCGGTTGATAAGCACAATCACTCGTATTAATAAAAAACTTAAACGAACGTTTTGAATAGATTTTTAATGTTAACAAGGAATTTTATTTCTAGTAAAATAAAATAAAATGTTAGAATAAAAATCTTATAGGTATAAAAGAAATATTTTAGCGAAAAAATTATTCTTAAAAATTAATCTTAAAAATTATTCGAAAAACTATTGACGTTCTATTTTTCAGCAGCTGTTCTTGAGCACGCTTCGATGAGTTTCGGTAACTTTTAACATAAAAGCGATCGTTATTATTTAAGTAATTTTTTTGAGTTCTTTTTACAAAAATTTTAATAACTGTACTTTTTCATTGAATCAAGTAGAATACGTTTTAATATTATTCTTTTTTTTTATTTATTTGCCCTCACCAATTTTTAAAATGTTTCCTCGAAATCACTCTTAAATACTTTAAATACGTCTAACAGTTAATAAATATTTTTAAATCTATGGAATAATTTTAAAACCTATCAAACCCCTGTAAAATAATTATTTAAATTTAAAATCTAAAACTAAAAGAAAGTATTTTTGTTCAATTTTATCGACAACGTTGCTATTGCTGAATAATTTTATTAAAATGTTAGCTTAAAAGATTTAAACTTTTTTTTTTAATTTTTGAATTTTTTCTACTTGAAAATAATGAGCATATTTAATTTTTTTAAATTCAAACTTTTATTTCAACTGCATGCGGTTTTTAAAATACTTGATTAAATGTTAAAATAATCGTCAATTACTTCATTAAAATTCCGCTCAAAAATATCTTTAAATATACTCAAACAAAAAATTTTTTGCTCGACGCAAATAGCCCTAGCTACACGCAAAATCGCCCTTGGACGACGTAAAATTCACATCGCCCGACGCTTTATCGCAAGGCCTGTATATATATATATATATATATATAAAATTAAATGTAATAAATATTTTTATACAATTAAATAAGTTTTAATAATTTAACCATTATTATTTTCACCAAACAGTTTTAAATAAATTCAGACAAGTTATAAAAAAATTGAAAAAGTTATAAAAACACAAAAAAACAATAAGTTAAAGAAACATTTTTAAAATTTTAAAGAAAGCATTGTTAAAGCTTTAAAAAAATTTAATAATTTCATAATATAAAATCGGTTTAATACTTTTTTACTGCATTGTATGCATATATTATATTAATACCTATATTTGCAACTAACCTTATAACTTGAGGTGTTAATAAGAGCCTTCACATACATAATCAAATCCAATAACGGCTAAATATAAGTTGAAGATCAAATTAAATTTTCTTACTAATGTGTAAAAAGTCATGTAAATTCAAAAATTATTACTTATTGGTAAAAACTTTACTTTGTTTTATATTAGATATACAGTAATCATATATATATATATATATAAATATATATATATATATATATATATATATATATATATATATATATATATATATATATATATATATATATATATATATATATATATATATATATATATTATATAATGGATTTAAATTATGAAGCAAAACTATTGGCTGGAAATAACATTATATAACAAAAGTACATACTTTAGTGATCTTCAAATAAAGACCAACAAAAGATTCACAAAACTTATCAAGATCCTGTAAAATAAATAACATAAATAGTATTATGTAGACAATAATTCAACATTATTTTTGTATAATTTATGAGCATTAAAAAACACCTGTTGATTATATGTGAATACTTAACTGTTAAATAGTAAATATTTAGGTAATAAATACTTTTATTTTTTGTATAAAAGAATATCACTATAATCAGTTAAAATTGGGACAATTTTAAATTGAGTTTTCTCAAAGACAACTTAACCAATTTTAATAATTTTCTTTTTATAATAATTCTTACATATTTAATTTTTATTTCAAAAAAATAAATATAGCCTTGACTTTTGACATGTAACTGACAACATGCAAGTAAGTCAACTTTTTGTAAAGTACCCTTCATCATCTCCTCAATTTTAATTTGTGCCACTTTTTTTGTAGCATTAATCTATAAATCACAGAAATTCTTACATTTGCCTCTTTTCTTCAATACTCCCTTCACAATAGCCCAGTAAGATTTTATAACTTGCTGCTCAGGACAGTTTGGTGGATAAGCATCCTTTGAAACAAAATTGACTCTTTTTTTCTTATAACATTACTTTTTTTAATTTTTAATTTAAGAATTGCTTTTTTGAAATATTAGATTGATACCAGATCTGGCCAAAAAAAGATTTTGAGTCAACTATTGAATTTGCCTTTTTTTTAAAAATAAATCTTGATTTTCTTCCACATCCCAATTTTATTTTACAGTTTTGTTTTCCTTATACCATTTTATAATAATTCCAACAGTTGATTTTGGAACTTTAAGTTTTTTTTGAAAATTTCAAGTTTTTTTTTTTGATTTTTTGACTCGACATTGAAAAAACTAATGAAAAGTAAACAAAACTACACTTACACACAAGAAAAATAATTATGTTAGCTTCATTAAAAAAAATCATAACAACTGATTAAGTGGTTTTTGAGAAAACTCAATTTAAAATCGTCCAAATTTCAATCGATAATGGTGATACCTTAAAACATTTCAGGTTTGCATTGGCTCTAAAGTTTTGTAGAGAAAAGAAAAAAACAACTTCACATTTTAGGTAAAAAATCTAATTACAAAATTTTTTTGTTTAACACTCTTCCACCCCCACCCCCCCTCTCTTTTCTAAACTAAAATTAGAGCATCAATAATTGAATGGCATTGATTTTGTCAATCAATTAAAATTGATATATATTCATATTAATACTATTTTTATAAATGAACTGAAAAAATTTTCTGGAAAGAATTTCACAATTCAATTTAATATAAATAGTATAAACTAAACTGAAGTAAATACCTAATATGACATTTCTAACATGTAATTAAATAACTCACAAAAATATGAACAACTCATGAATAATAAAACTGTTTGGTATAAGATTGAAAGAGTTTTCATACTTTATATGCGTTTAAGTTATTTTAATGTATTGTAATAAAATATTTTTACATTTTAAACTTTTGAGGATGGTTAAAGTACTTAACATTCTATTAAAAAACTATTTATAAAAAGAAAAAAAACTTCACTAAAAAAAAAATTAATAAAATTTTTTTTATGTTTAAAAAAAATTTAACTAAAGATAATCACTTTCGAAGAAAATTAAATTTTTTTTTTCTTTGTTGCCAAAATCTTTTAAATTTGATTTTTTTAAATCCTTTACTTTTTCTTTTTTTTTGTTTGTTTGTTTGTTTTTGATTTAAAAAAAAAAAAGCATATGCCATTCCTGAAGTCATAGCGGTTTCTAATCAATCTTCTTTTATAACAACTATAGAAGAACAATAAAAATTTCAACTAGAGCGTTATTCTTTTAAAATCGTAATTTTAATTGTTAAAATAGTAAGATTGCAAATTCTAAAACACTTTAAAATCTTTAAAATTTTTTTTTTGTTTTTTTGTTTTATTCTGATTCACTCCCAACAAGGCTGCAAGTAACCATTATTAAGTTAGAAGTTACTAGAAAAAAAGAATAAAGTTATAGAGCAAGAAAACGATTGACAGAAGACTTAAAAAGTTCAAGGTTGTATCAATCAGGAAAACATGAAGATTGTGGAGAGTTCAAAAATTGTTGAAGTGCGGAGAAAAAAACTAAATAAAAGTTTTTAAAGCATGCAGCAAAAATACAGTAAAAAAAATATACAAAAACAGATACAGTAAAAAAATTGTGTTATAAGGAAAAATAAAAAAACTAAGAGAAATGGTATTTTGTTTTGAAATCCATAGTTTATGCAATAAGCAAATAATATTTTAGTTTATAAATTTTTAGTTATAAATTATTTATTTTAATTTTTAACAAAAATTGCAACAGCTAACAAGTAAATATCTTGTGCATATTAAATATATATATATATATATATATATATATATATATATATATATATATATATATATATATATATATATATATATATATATATATATATATAAACCTCTAACAAATATATATTCTATGATTTAATGAATTGCCTAAAAGGCACTAATATAGAAATATTTGCTACTGCCTTAATTCAAGTCCTGTGATAACTTCTTTATTGGTAGCTTTTTTAAATCTATTTAATGATAAATACAGATGTAGCATTTCTTTTCTTTAAATTTGTTGTTGTTTCAGACTTTTGCTTAATATATGCCCCAAAAGATGGGAAGACAGAGACTCAGTTTCTAGAAATGTGGCCTTGTTCCATTACAAGTATACACACTTTTGTTTTTTTTGTATCTAAATTTTTTCTCTGACCCGTTATTTTCAGATGTAAAATAGATGAAAAGACTAGATAAAAGGTTTTAAAATTTTTAGTGTAAAATAACTATGTTATGAGATATTTTATAGTAAAAAAAACAAAAACTGCATTATCAAATGTAAAAAAAAAATACTTCTGTTAAAAGCTGATCAGGATTGATAACTCTTCCATCCAAGTTATTCATTTTGTAGAAATTCATTCCACTACAAAAAAATAAACACAAAAATAAAATTTTATGGCAAAACAAATCTTAAAATGTTTGTATATTTCAAAAAAAAAAAGGAAAAATTTTGATTTAATTGAAATATATATATATATATATATATATATATATATATATATATATATATATATATATATATACATATATATATATATATATACATATATATATATATATATATATATATATATATATATATATATATATATATATATATATATATATATATATATACCAGTTATTGGGCTAAATATATTTACATATATTTGGCCCAATATATTTACATTAGCCCAATATACCGGTTTTACATAGCCTACAATCTACCCACTCACTACATAGCTATGATACAAAATGCTTTAACATAACCTGTTATATAGCTACTAAGTAGCACACCCATATCACATAGCTACTACATAGCCTGTATCCTGAGAAGTATGTAGCCCACTACATACTTATGTAGTAGCTATGAAAAATAAAACAACCCACTACATGCCTACCAATATAAAATGTACAATACAATATGTTTTGAATAAATCTTCATAAAATATTTGACGCTAGTGTTAGTGATGTAAAAAGAAAAATTAGTCCAAGTTTTAATTTGGATGTCATTTTTTTTTCTTTACGATATAACTACTACATAGACCTCCATATAGCTTTTAAATAGTTCAATATATAAGTTCTACATAGCCCGCAGGGTACCTGTCCACTACATAGCTTTATAGCAACATGCTACAACATATAATATATAACCAATGTATAAGCTATATAACAGGTTATGTAATAGGTATATAACAGGTTATGTATTGGGTATATAACCTGTTATATACCTATAACATAACCTGTTATATAGCTACTACATTGCCCACTCATAACTAATATATAGCTACTCCCTAAGCATGTAGCCTACTACATATATATAAATAAAATATAATAATGCAATATGCATTATTATATTTTATTTATATATATACACTAAATTTAGTGATGGAAAAGTAAAAGTTGAAAAACCAAAAAAAAATTTAAAAAAAAAGAACAATAATTTTAAATGAATTAAATTACCTGATTTTTGCAACTATTTATCAATTCAAAAGTTAAACAGGTTTGATGTCAAAAACACCAAGTAAATTGCAATGGCTTTTTTTTTTAAACTTAAAAAAAAGAAGCCATTTTACACTAAAACGACCATAAATCTTTATTAAAATATGTTTTGTTTAATTTTTTTTGCTAAGATCACTTTCACATTGATTATAATAAAAACTCAGTTTTTACTTTTTTTTTATGTAACATAGTTTTTGAGTTTACCTCAGAAAATCATGTTACATAAAAAAATGTCAACAGACAGACTTTTATATAATAGCATATATATATATAATAGCATATATATATATATATATATATATATATATATATATATATATATATATATATTATATATATATATATACTCACACACTAATGGTCAAAAGAATGGGTTTACTTGATGAAATATATTAATACTTACATATATAATATTATATATATATATATATATATATATATATATATATATATATATATATATATATATATATATATATATATATAATACTTATATATATATACATAATAAATGCGGTAGTGGTGTAGTGGTAGAGCGCTCGCTTCATAAACGAGTGGTTCCGGGTTCGATCCCCACCACGTCCCTGGTAGTACCGCGCTCAACTCGTTTCTCCACGCAGCAGCCTTGTTCGTCAAGGTTCGTGTTTCGGAGTTATAGAGTGCTTGACACAAAACTCAGCCTTGTTCGTCAAGGTTCGTGTTTCGGAGTTTGTGAGTGCTTGACACAAAACTCATGGCAGCCATTATACCCGAGTTAAAGTCAAGAATGAGCAGCACTTTTTTATATAAGAAAATGTGAAGGAATGTAAATGTCTGACTTATGAACACTTTAAATTATGTAATGTTAAAAACTTAATCCCGTTTTGCAGTTTTACTTTTACTTAAAAACTGCTGCAATATCTCTATAATTTTGATTTATAGCATTTATTCGCCATTTTATAAAGTTGTTTTTTGTATAAGTAGTATTAAAAATTGTGCCTTAGTAGTCGAAGTATGCATTAGTAGCTGAAGTGGTTAGTTCAATGCACTTCCAAAATACAACAGGGGGGTTCAAATCCTATCACTTGCACAATTATTCATTTTTATATGTTATATACATAACATATATAAAGATAGGATATATACTATAACAAACAAAAGGAAGAGAATTTTTAAAAAAGCCTAAAATTAAAACAAGAAAACAGTGGGAGAAATTTTTAGCACACGATTCTTAGTGATAGAAATTATGTTTTGGTAACTAGCAAAGTTTTCGTGTTTAATACACATTAAAAAGACAACTTTCATTCTTATAGAAAGATTTTGCATTAAAATTTTTATTTTCTTTAAAGTTAATTAACAGGGTGAGGGTCCTAATAAGCAGCAGATGGTCCAGAAAAAAAATTAATAAAATCCTAATTGAAACCTAATGCAGAAAAAAATTATTAAAACCATACCTGTTTTTTTTACAGAAGTTTACAATTTTACAAAAAGAAATTATAAGTATTGAACATTATTTGTTAACTCAAAACAATGACTTAATTTTTTATTTTCTACTACCTACTAAAAATTATTGAAATAAAACAGAAAACTATATAAAACAACTATATAAAGAATAAGTATAGAATATATATAGAAGTATAGAAAAGCTAGGAAAATAAGGAAAAAGTGTATAAATGGTTGATGTGAAATAGAATTACCATGACCTGTATTATACAGGCATGATAAGTTCATTACTCAACCTATTTTAAAGTCTATTTTCACTTTTTTTCTTTTACTTTTTATACCAATTGTATTTAATCAACACATTTCAAGTGCAACACATTTCAAGCGGCATTCAAAATATTATTCAGAATACCTTCTTTAGATTCTAATATCCGAACCGCTGATAAATAGCAGCTCGCGTAACGACTACAGATGCTTTTAAAAACTGGTAAAGTTAGTTACAAGAATACAAGATTACAAAGTTAAACATCAACGCTAAACTTTATAAAGTTAAACATTTTAAAATTTGTATAAAATCAAAAGTAAAACATACTCTAAATAACGATCTTGTAAAGTAAAAGTTATTCTTGATCGCAAACTTATCTTTAATTCATCAATAGAAAACTAAATTAAAAAAAAAAGTAATTTAATTATAACGAATGTTATTTAAAACACTTTAAATTTTTTGAAAGAATATTTTAAATAAATTTAACAAAAAAAAACACCTGATAAACACATTAAATAGGAAAACTAACCTTCATCATCTGAGTTACAAAAGCAATCTAAACATAACAATGAGTTATTAACAACAATCGATAAGTTATAAATAACAATCAATGAGTTAATAACAACAATCAATAAGTTATAAATAACAATCAATGAATTAATAACAACAATCAATAAGTTATAAATAACAATCAATGAGTTATTAACAACAACCAATAAGTTATAAATAACAATCAATGAGTTAATAACAACAATCAATAAGTTATAAATAACAATCAATGAGTTATTAACAACAATCAATAAGTTATAAATAACAATCAATAAGTTATAAATAACAATCAATGAGTCATTAACAACAATCAATAAGTTATAAATAACAATCAATCAGTTATTAACAACAATCAATAAGTTATAAATAACAATCAATGAGTTATTAACAACAATCGATAAGTTATAAATAACAATCAATGAGTTATTCACAACAATCAATAAGTTATAAATAACAATCAATGAGTTATTAATGACAATCAATAAGTTATAAATAACAATCAATGAGTTATTAACAACAATTAATAAGTTAAATTTTTTTTTTTTAAATATTAAAGCTTTTAAATAAAACACTCGTTTTATGAGTTAATGTTAAATGTAATTTTATAACCAGAGAAAAGCTTTCCTCTGATTATAAAAATACATTTAAACATCTCTAAAGATGTTTCGTTCAACTTGTATTTTTCCAGTTTGTTGAGTATTGTAAACTTTACAATAATGCATCATTAAATCAAAACTGCTAATTTTTGACTTTTTTTTGTCGTGAATATAATGACTAAGTTATTACCCATTATACTAACAACATACACTTCAATAAACCAGATTAAAACCCTCAAAATGGGAAAGTGTCATTGAATATTTGGCAGTAGAATATTTGGTGCTTTGGCCAATGATCTAGCCAAATATTCTGTATTCGGCAAAACCACTATCTGTGACATCTTTATTTACAATAGTATATGCTTTTGTTTTTAAACGAACAAACAAAAAAAGAAGATTGGAAAGTTAAATCGAATGAAAAGATAAAAGGATTTTAAGATTTTCACTTAACTAAATTGAATTACAATTTTGACTTTTGACTAGTCGACATTAAGTAGATTTAGTTGAAATCAATAACAACACTAATTTTAAATCACACAAAAAGGGATATATATTTAATAATATTTACCATTAAAATATTAAAAAAAAAATCCTTAATTTTTAATTTGGGCGGCACCCAAATACGTTGCTGTTGAAAATGGCCTAGAATAGCTCTTGTACTCTAAACTAGACTTCCATCCACTCATATTACTAAAAGTAAATAAGCTATACAGTTAGTTTTGATGGTCAGGAGGTAACCATAAAAACTAACTATAGTTAGTTTTGGTGGTTACCTCCTGAAAGTATTAACTAAAATATTTTCACACCATCCTCAATAAAACAAAAAAAATTATCATCACATTTATCAACCCAGATCCAAATATAATCATTATCTTGATGTTTTGCTGCATAATGCACATCTGTGCATGGAAACCTTGTTTGATATTTTGCATGAACTTGGATACTTTTGCATTTTGTTTGATATTTTGACGCAAAGTCAATAACTATCATAATTATTTGGATCATGAATTTATATATTTTGCCACATCGTAATACCAGTTACGATACTTTGCAGGGTTTTTTCAATAGTTTGTATTTTGTTGGTAACTTAAAAAATTTGCACAGCAGAGTGTACATACATCAACTGATATAAATAGGGAAAATATGCTTTTCATATTGGGAACATGCAGGGAGTGTACATACATCAGGATCAGAGTTAGGATTGCTAACACTAACCAAACCCTCAGTTGAACATCAAGATAATAATTATTATCACTATTATTAGAATACATAGTTTGAAAAATATGTACACTTTCTGCATGTATTCTCTATTTATGTTAGTTAATGTATGCACAATCCCTGCATGCTCTTCTTATTTAACTCAGTTCATATAGAAAACACTCTATTGCATGTTTTTGTTAGAAAGTAATCCAATGTAAGTGCAAAAAAATAAAAAAAAAAACAATTTCTGAATAAAAATAAAAAAAACTTTCTTGTAAATAGAATTGCAGTTTTTTAAAAAAAGAAATTTAATTATTTCTGCAATCGTTTTACTGCAATTAATATGCGGTAATTAACAAAACAAACTATGCAGTAGTGGTGTAGTGGTAAGAGCGCTCGCTTTGTAAGCGAAAGGTTCAGAGTTCGACTCCCACCACATCCTTGGAAGTACCGCACTCAACTTAATTTCTCCGCGCAGCAGTCTTGCTTGTCAAGGTTCGTGTTTCGGAGTTAAAGAGCTGAGAGTGGTTGTACCACGATTTACAACAAAACAAAAAAATAAAAATAAAAAATAAAAAAAAAGAGTAGCCTTCTCAACGAAGTGGCCCCCTTGGGCCTTGGAAGGTGAATAATTAAAAAAAAAATTATTGTTATCATTAGAATAAGAGAATTATTATTTATTATTAATATCAGAGTAATAAAAACAATTATAACAACAACAATAATATAAAAAAGTTGAAACAATTTCAAACTAATAAAATATAATTTAAAAGAGAATATACTAAAACATAAAAAAAAAATTAAGAAATATAAAAACAACTAAAATAAAACATAAAACTGCAATTTTAAAATAATTATACATACAAGAGGCATTGCAGTGATATAATTAATTGAATTGTCTTTGAAAGATATCAAATCTTTGGAAATTATTGACCTAAAGATATGAAAAATTAAAACAATTGATTAATTGATTGATTAATATAAGATTTTATATAGATATTGAATCTCAAATAGATAAATAAAAACTAAAAAAGTTTGTTCAAAAAATTAAACTTAATTTCTTAAAAAAGAAATAACAGTCAGTTTCAAGGCAGTAAATATAAATACACAGAATAAATAAATTAAGGAATGATATAAATTAAGGAATGATATAAATACACAGAACACATACATTAGGAATGATATAAATTTTCTATTAAGATCAAGAACTGCTAAGATAATTGCAATTTAAGGAATGATGTCTCAACTAACCTCAACTACAATTATTTTGACTTTGTTCAACAAGAATTATTATATAGAAAATAATAAACAGTAATGTAAAACTAATTATATATATATATATATATATTATATATATATATATATATATATATATATATATATATATATATATATATATATATATATATATATAGATAGATAGATAGATAGATAGATATAGATATAGATATAGATATATATATAGATATAGATATAGATATATATATATATATATATATATATATATATATATATATATATATATATATATATAT